AGTGAGCACATCCATTTCGGTTCCAAATCCATGGGACAGATGTTCAGTTGGAGGCTTCTGCTGTCTTTCTTAATGGCTTTGAATGATGAATATAAGATCATCAGGAACACCAATGGCTGGCAGTTGCAGAGGTAGATTAACTGAAGGTCAGCAAGTCAGGATTGTGATAGGAGAGGTAAATGAATATAAGTTTAACAGGTTAGGTAACAGGTCAGATAGTGGCCTCTTATTACTCCTGACAATGGGGCAGTCTATTGACTCAAGTTCAAAGAACCTCGGTCAATGAGCCAGATGCAGGAGACCCATACCCAGCAAAAAGCAAGCAAGCATTCACTTAAAAATTAAGTAAAGGATATATCTGAGGACACTTCCTATTGCTTGCATCATACTTATGACATGATAAAGGAGGTTGCTCTGCTCTAATCATACAATTGCTTGGCTATGCACAACCAGTCTCATTATAGAGCTTATTACATTAAGTTAGGACATACCACGGGACATTACTAGGCCTCAGCTTCCAAACGACTAAATTTCCCCACCAAACCCTCGTAAGTTAGAGACCATCTCATGAGTGGTTTCGAAACATTGACCAGACAAATTGTAGGATGACATCAAAAGGATCACAGATAAGGACATCAAAGGCTGTTATAAAATATAGGAGAGAAATTAAAAGCAAAATGGATATTAAAAGGGATTGTGAAACTTGCTTCTAAATATAAACAGTTAGAACGAATGATGGAGTGATGAAGAAAACAATAAAAACAGATTTCTATGCTAAGTTCAGAAAGACAAAAGAAAGTCATTTGAAAAAAATTACACAGACTTAGTGTTAGATAAACAAAAAGGAAGAGCATGTTCAACATTTCTGAAGTTGAAAGAACACAAGAGATATCCAATTCTTGACTTATAATGTTAGAGGATTCTATGGGCAAAATACTGATCAACACAGGGATCCTCAGAAGAAGATGGAATACAGTCACTATTGTAAGGTGGCCGAGAGGCGTCAGAGACCAAATCGGTTGAATTTAAGCAAACAGGCTTTATTAGGGAGAAAAAGCCAGCCTGGGTGAAGTCACAGAGTCCACAGTGTCCGCGCCAAAGGAGCCACGCCCCAGGCTACAGGGGTGGGTTTATATTTCCGAGAGCAAGTGACTGGGCTGCCTAGAGTCCATGTAAGGTGAAGTAGTCAGGGATTGGGAAATACAGGTATGTCCGGGTTTCTGGAATGTAAGGTGTCTTCCTGGTTCCAGGTGTATTTGTGCCAGGTGCAGGATTGTAAGAGTGCAATAACATTTGATTAATGCCAATAGGAGATATTTCTTGCATTCGGTTGCAAAGAAAGTTCAGCAAACAGGGTGCCAGAAGTAGCAGAGTGTCGATGGTTATAAGATGGGTTATTAGGGGAGCAACCCAACCAATAAATGGATTAGACCACCAACCTCTCTTTTGGACTCCGGGGGCCTCACCAGATAGCTTTTTTTCGCAACTCACGAAGTTTGTTGATACTGGTTTCCACCAACCCGGATTCGTTAACATAATAGCAACACTCCTCGTTTAGGTACATGCACGTTCCCCCTTTATTGGCTGTCAAGAGGTCTAGGGACCTTCTGTTCTGTAAGGCTACTTGGGCTAGGGATGTTTTTTTGTGCTGTAAGAGATTTAAAGATAATGCAGTGTCTTCAATTGCTTCTTGGAGGACCAGCTTTGTTAAGAGCTCAGAGAGTAGGATAGGAAACCTGTCCCCATTCCTGACCCAACCAAGGAAGAGGCTACCGCTAAACCAACCATGACAGGGAGGAACACTGCCCGTGTGTGTCTGGTTGTGCCAGGGGAGAGATTTTGTAGAGCATTTACCTCAGGGACTGTGTACATAGTTAGCTAGGGAACCAGGATGACCAGCATACATAGATGGGATGGGGAAGGAGCGGAAAGGTTTTTTGTCAGGGTGCTATTGTGCCAAAACAATCCACCTGGGGGGGTATTGAGTGGAAAAGTGAGGTTACTTGTGGTATTGTTACAACCTTGTCCCGGGTCGGAATCGTAAAACGGCAATCTTTTCAGCAGTGGATTGTGGAACAGGAGAACTCCAATTACTGGCGGAAAGGCGTCTGTTTTTTCCTTATAGTTAAACGATTGAGGTAAAGGTACTGCTGCCAGAAGAGACCTATGGAGGGCAGCACAAGGAAACAAGAGGATAGATTAACCAGGTTGGAAATGTTAAGACGGGCTGCCCCTTCTTGGATAACGGTAAGACAAGAAAAAGGTTTTCCCTTGGACCTCTGTCCTGTAACCTGTTCTTGAAGTTCTTGTTGGGCTTTCTGGATTAGCCAGGTTTGATCGGCCAGGCCAGTGCGTAGGTAAACACAGTAGATATATAACCTGCAAATGGGTTCCCGAATTATCAGCCCAGGTTTCGGTACCTATGAACTGCCATCGGTGGTTGGGTGACTGCATTTCCGTGTTTACGGAAGCCAATACCAGTTTGACTGCCGATGGGGTGGTGAGGATTATGGTGTAGGGTTCTTTCCACCGTGGCTGGAGTCCAGGGCCAGGCGCAGGGCGAGTTTTTCCTAGGACCTGGTCTCCTGGGGAGAGGTTAAGGGTTGGGTGCCCAGAAGAGGTGTTTTGCATGTCCGGAAAGTGTTGGTCTGCATAGGACCTGAGTAAATTGCGGAGCAAAGCTAGAGTGGGTAAGTAAGTTGAAAGTGGAGTTTCATTCTGCGGCAAAGAATAATTTAGGAAAAATGAGTGGCTGAATAGAATTTCAGATGGGCTGATACCTGTGGGCTCCCTGGGGGAAGCCTGAAGGTGGGTTAAGGCAACAGGAAGAAGATCTGGCCAAGAGAGGCAGACCTTTAAGGAGAGTGTAGTTAACTGGGACTTTATGAGTCCGCTGGCCCCCTCAACCTTGACTGACGATTGGGGACAATAAGGAATATGTAGTTTCCAATCCACTTCCAGGGCAGCTGAGACCTGTTGAGACACCTGCGAAATGAAGGCTGGGCCATTGTCAGACTGGATAGATTGTGGAAAGCCAAATTTAGGGATTATAGATTGCAGGAGAGTTCGAGTAACAACATCTGGTGTCTCCTGGCTGGTATGGAATGCTTCAATCCGCACTGAAAAGATATTCAGCAAACTAACAAATATTTAAGGTGTTTATGTTAATATACGTAAAATCAATTGCCCAGTCCCCACTGGGGAGGTACCCACGGAATTGGTGGAGGCTTCTAAGAGGCTGAATATTGCTCTGGGAGGAGCGTCTGACCCCAGGGTGGCTACAACGGCAAAAATGAGATGGGCAGAATGAAGCTGCTGAGGTATTAGGGAAATGGAGGCCTTAAGGCGTTGTAAAATGTCACGTCCGAGTAACAGAACGGGACACGAGGGGATTACTAGGATTGAATGGGAGAAAGGGTATTAGTTTAAGATGCAGGGCAAGAGGGGAGTTTTGTTGGGTGTTGAGGAGGTGCCATCAGTCCCCATTACAGTGACCATGGAAGGAAGACAAGCCCGGCATATGAAGGAAGGATGGAATAGGTAGCCCCGTGTCTAAAACAAAAGAGGTGGACTTACCATTTACCTGGATGGTGACCCTGGGCTCAGCTGGGGTTATTGGGGTTTTGGAGTACAGGCATATTCAGTCTTCTTCACCAAGCCCAGAAGCTCACCAGCCGGGAAGGATTGTGGTGAGGCCCTGCTGACCCCGGCCATTGAAGCAGCCGGGGGAAGCTGGCAAGGGGACAGTTAGACTTCCAGTGAACTTTCTGGCAGCACACTGGGTACAGCTTGGTGGGGGGTTGAAGGTTTGGGCATTGATGGGCCCAGTGTCCATCCTTACCGCACTTCAAACAAGCCTCCAGCGCGACAGCATCCTGCTTTGTGAGAGGATCTTTTGGGCCCTCCCCTGCCAGCCTCAGGGCAGGTACCAGAACCTGGGTTTGCAGGGCCACCTTCTGTTGTTATCTGGACTGTCAGGCTGATTCAACCATTTCCCCCCCGGGCGTTAAAAACTTGAAAGGCTGCTTATACCAGATCCTGTAATGGGGATTGTGGTCCCTCCTCTGCTTTTTTAATTTCTTTCTTATATCTGGAGCTGACTGATAGATAAAGTGGGAGCCAAGACAGCTGCCCCAGCAGGGGCTTTGGGGGTACAGTTTTGTAAACTGGGTAAGGGCCTCTTGGAGGAGGTTTAGAAAAAAAGATAAGATTTTCAATTTTCTATTGTTACCTCTTCAGTTTTTCAAAGTTGACTATCTTAAGAGAGTCATAGTTACTCCGGCCATTTACCCGCGCTTCAATAAATATTTTTACTTTGACATTCAGAGCACTGGGTAGAAATCACATCATGTCAACAGTAGTCACGGGCCTTCACAATGCTTTGTTTTAATTAAGCAGCTGGATTCCCCTGGTCCTCAAGAGTTCTAAGCGGGGCTGGGCACACACCATGGCTGGAGAAAGCGCTGATGCCCCCCCAAGTCCTGGGCACACACCCCTAGGTGTGCCCCTGTGGTCCTCTCCATCCCCACCCTCGCCTGCATGGTTCCTGCTTTTCCTTTGGTGAGGGGTTTGGGATGCCCTGATCAGGATGCAGCAGGCTGTTGGGGATCCGCCTTGGGACCTGTGGGTCTGAAGAGAGCGAGGGCACCTGGGAGCCGGTAATGGCGGCTACTCTGGACGGGAGCTGAGACCTTCCCCCTTCATGCCCCAATCCCTTAGAGACAATCCTTATCTAAGGTGACCAGATTTAACATTGGTAAAGTGGGACAAAAGCAGGACACCATTGATAAAACTCATATCCTGGCAAAATAGCCACATGGCAGCCAAAAACCATATACCTTAGATTTTCATGCATTCTTTCCAAAAATCAGGATTTTTTTAAAACGCCGCGGGACGCAAGAAAAATTGTTAAAAATTGGGACAGACCTCGCAAAAGCGGGAGGTCTGGTCACCTTATCCTTCTCCCAAAGTTGCGAATCCAGCTTGCCGCTTTCCCTTACCTGCATTCTTCCAACATGCCAGAGGCTGTTCACCTTGGAGAGCTGCTGCGGATATGGGTGCAGCCCGGCGCTAGATTTACACCTTGTTCCCAGATTTTCAAGGGTCAGGGAGAGCTCACTGAATACCGCTGGAACCGCAATGTTTCCCAAGACAATTTTCAATTTGGGACAGTTCTTGGAGGAAAAACGGAACATGGACACACCCTCAGCCTCTGCAAGTTCCCTAAAAGCCAGGAGGTGGGGACAAGTATGCACTGACACAGGAGAGGAGATAGCGGAAACAGAGGGTGGCAAAATGGGCGGGACCAGAGTGGAGGGTTGGGACTGTCCAGCAACAGAGGGGGAAGATGATGGCAAAGGGAGGAGGAATGGCTGTGCATATGGCGGCGGAGGCTGAGAGGGAGGAGGAGGATTAGGAATTGGTCCAGGTGGGAGACGAAGAGTGTCTGGCTCTTCAGTAAGCGCAGAGGACGGCGCTAGGGTGTGGTAGGGAGAGTTGGGGTTATTTTCAAGTTTTTATTTTGCTGTCCTGCTCCTTTCAGTTGATTTAGCTAAAAGGACCTGTGAGGTGGAACACTGGACGCATAGAGACCGGCGGGCTCAGAGATCCCAGAAAGCCTAAATGTACGTCGGGACCTCTGACCATTTTCCTGAACGGCTGCCAAAATTGTCCAAATCACTAAGAATGCCGAAATTGAAACAAAACAAAACAAAAAAAAACCCCTGGAGGGCCACCTAGATTGGTTCTCTAAGGGGTATTGAGTCCACTCGGTGGTACACAGGAAGACTAGCCATTTTTTGTGTGGAGGTTTTGGAAAAATCCCTGTTTGGAGAAATTTAGAAGGAGATAGTCCAAGGGGGTTTTAAGATTAGATTTTGGACTTGGTATTGCCCATGATGCCCCCACACTCCAGAGAGTTATCCCCAAAGACAAGGCCTCCCCTGTGTTAGAGGAAACTCAAGAATAAACAAAGGTGGTCCCCTGCTAGTGAGATGTCTCCTGGGTCACAGGGTTCCCAACAAGAGCAGAAAGCTATCCCTGGCGTGGCTGCGACACGGGATAGGAGGGGCTTGGATGGAGAGGTTGCGGGGAAGGACTTACCTAAGACCAAAACTGATCGTGCCATTCTGGACAGCGGAGGTTTGGTTGGAGAAGAGTCCCTCAGGGTGGGCCAGTGCCCCTGAACACTGAGGGGGTCTCTATTCCGGGTTTTGGCAACAATGTAAGCTGGTCAGGAAGTGTCAGAGACCAAATCAGTTGAATTTAAGCAAACAGACTTTATTAGGGAGAAAAACCCAGCCTGGGCAAAGTCCCACAGTCCACAATGCCCAGGCTGAGGGAGTAGCGCCCCAGGTTATAGGGGTGGTATTTATATTGCTGGGGAACATGTGACTGGGCTGCCTTGAGTCTGTATAAGATAAAGTAGTCAGGGATTTGGAGATACAGGTATGTCCGGGTTTCTGGAATGTAAGGTATCTTCCTGGTTCCAGGTGTATTTGTGTTGGGTGCAGGGCGGGCTGTGAGTAAAATGGGCCATGTGAAAGGTGCAGGTGCAGGTGCAGGGTGGGCCATGAGCCAAATGGGCCGTGTGTAAAAAAAAGGACTTGCAAAGTTGTTGACAGGTTACATTAGCCAGCTCTGGTGAGCTAAGCATGTGGTGGGGGAGATTCAAGGTCACTTGCTGCTAGTTGTTTCAGCCAGCTCTGGTCAGCTCCACACATGGCTGAGGGGAGGTTCAGAAGTCACTTGCTCCTAGGAGCCGGTCTGATATTGATCCGGCCAGACAACTATAGCAAAAATGTTGTTGTAGTTTAAACCATTACAGGAGATGTGTGACCATTCACTGAGGTGTTTAAGGAAGAAATCTGGGATTCACTCAAGGCTGTAGAAAAGAAAAATGAAGCTCTAGACTTTGAAAGAAATACAATTGAACCACTTCAACAAATGATTAAACACTGTAAATATTCTAGGACAGGGAATTTGGAAAATATTTACATGACCAAAAAGATTCATATATGTATGTATTCCAAAGAAAGATGCTCCAAAAGAATGTTTAAATCATTGAAAATATCATTAATATTCCATGCAAGTGACATTTTTTTGAAGATAATTTTTAAATGTATGCAACAGTACATGGAAAGGGATTACCAGATAGTCAATTTGGATTCAGAAGGATGAGGGATATAATTGCTGGTATCATGATTGATCCAAAGATCCCAAAACAGAGAATATCTAAAAAGTTATTTATGTAAGTTTCATTGACTTTGAAAAGGTATTTGTGTGAATCAAAACATGGATATATTGCAAAGAATGAGAATTACAGAACATGCAATTGTGTTCATGAGGGATTTGTAAATAGACTCAGAGGCAATCATTTAAAGAGAAAAAGGGAATGCTGTGTGGTTTAAAGTCAGGGAAGGTTTGTATAGGGATTATGTCATTTTGCTGTACTTCTCAATTTGAATGCTGATAAAATAACCTTACAAACTGGTATATATGAAAGTCACAGTACAAGGGGATTTGCTAATGACTCAATAAAAGCCTATGATATGCAAATGACACAACATTTCTTGCTGAAAAGAAGACTTGCAACATCTAATGGTGAAGATCATAGACTCATATCTTAAGTATAGATTGCACATCAACGTAAAACAAAATCTCACATAAATGAACATAAACAACTTCATGGTAAATGAAATACTTAATTTGTTCAGGATCTCATTTTACCTCAATCTACAATCAATGCCAATGGAAGCATTAGTCAGGAAAGATAAAATTACACTGGGAAAATCTGCTCCAAAATACAATCTTAAAATGTTAGTAAAAATGTATCTTTCAGGACTAGGGTATAAATAACTCAGGCTGTCAGATTTTCCATCACTTCTTATGCATGTGAAAGCTGGACAATTAAAAAGAAGATCAAAGAAGAGACAGCACTTTTGAATTGTGGTGTTTGGAATATTAAATGTACCACGAAGGAAACCCAAAAGTTCCAAGCCCACTGACATCAAGTCGCTTCAGCTTCACGGTCCCTCTATAAGATTTTGGAACCCTGGAAGAGCAGTAGTTTCAAGTTTCTCCTGTTGAGTGACTGAGGGATGGGATTGACCAATTAACCTAGTAGCTAGCAGTTCAATGATTACCAATGAGGGGGCCTCAGGACTCCTTAATGATTTCTAAAAGTGTGAATAAATGTGTCTTGGAATAATGAAAGCTAATATGTTCCTTTACATCTTCTTCACATTTGAAAAGAGGGAAAAAATGCAATCACTGCCCCCAAAAGAACTAGTGAACATTCCACCATTTCAGGAGGTTGTGCATGAGCAAGAACCAGTGGTACTGAAGGAAGAAGTTCAAGCAGTACTGAATGCATAAACCCAATTGTCTCCCAGGATGGACAGGACACCAATTGAAATGTTTCAACAAGCTGATGAAGCGCTATACACGATAACTTGTCTATGCCAAGAAAATTTCAATACAGCTACTAGGCCAATTGACTGGAAAAGATCCGTATTTGTTCCTTTTCCAACGAAAGGTGACTCAACAGAATGCTCAAATTACAGAATGATATCATTGATATTAAACACATGTAAAATTTTGCTGAACATCCAGAATGATATCATTGATATTAAACACATGTAAAATTTTGCTGAACATTGTTGCAGCAGTCCATTGACATGGCGCTGTCAGAAGTACCAGCCGGATTCCAAGGAGGACATGGAGCAAGGCATGTCATTGTTGATGCCAGATAGATCTTGGCTCAAAGCAGAAAATACCACAAAAATGTTTATTTGTGTTTTTGACTATGCCAAGGCATTCCATTGAGGGGACCATAATACACTATGGGTAACCTTGAGAAAAATGTGAATGCCAGAACACCTCATTGTGCCCTTTCAGAACTTGTACATGGATCAAGAGACGGTTGTGTGAATGGGACGAGGGTATCAAGAAAAGTGTAAAAATCAATAAAGGTGTATGGCAAGATTGTATCTTTTTAGCATACTTGTTCAATCTGTACACTGAGAAAATCATCAGAGAAGCTAGATTATATGAAGATGATCGTGGCATTAGTACTGAAGGACGGCTTATTAACAACCTGCTATCTGAAGGTGACACAACCTTGCTTACTGAAAGTGAGGAGGACTTGAAGCACTTATTGGTGAAGATCGAGGATTGTATCCTTCAGACTGGATTGCAACTCAATGTAAAGAAGACCAACATCCTCACAACTGGACCAATAGCTAACATCATTATCAATGGAGGAGTTGAAGTTGTCAAGGACATTGTCTTGCTTGGATCTAAAATCAATATTCATGGAAGTAGCAGTTTAAATATCAAAGATGAATCAACCCTATGGCTGCAAAAATAGAGTAATGCATAGGGACAATTGTAAGGATGACGCAGGATGGTGCAGTGTTTCCTTCTGTTGTGCATAAGGTCACGATAGGTAGGAATCAACTTGATAACAACTGACAACAACAACAAAACATATGTTCCTTAGAAGCCACAGTGGTGAAACATCTTTTTATGTATTTTGGTCATGTTATCAGAAAGGACCAGTTCCTGGAAAAGAACATCATGCTTGGTAAAAGTACAACTTTACGTGTTGCCTCACAAAAAGGAAAACTCTACTAAATGTGTGCACATAATTGTAGGTAAAATCAGTATAAACATAGAATCAATTGTGAACATGGCACATAACTGCTAATATTTTTTTCTATTGTACATATAATTTTAGGTTGGAACTGACCCTAGAGCACCAGGGGCAGGGGGAAGGAGGGAAGGTAGGAGGCATTAGAGAATACCTGGTATGATTCCAATGTTTTAAAGAGATTTTGTGACTTTCTGGGTTAAGCATTTGGCTTCTAATTACAAAATTGGCATTTCAAGCCTACCAGCAACACCTCGGGAGAAACAGGAGTCTGTCACACCTACCAAGAATTGCAGTCTTGGAAATTTTATTTAGGATCACTCTGAATTATAATCCACACAATAGAATAGGGTTTGTTTTGCTTTTGAACAGTATTTGAGATTTTGTGAGGATTAGAGCAACACCAGGCTAGTGGAGAGGAAGCACTAAGAGGTGGAAGAAGGGGGAAAGGGATGGCGGGGCAGGAGGAGGCAAAAGGAAACAGAGGCAAGCTCTAGGAAGCAAAGGCATAGATAGGGAGATTAACAGAGGTGTGCACTTATGCAAATACATTAATACATGACAATAGTGGTATCGGTCTATCATCTCTATAAGAATGGAGGGAGTTGGAGCGGAGACCCAAAGCCCATCTATAGACAATGGAACATCCACCCACATAGGGGTCTCAGGGAGGAGGTGAGTTAATCAGGGTGCAGTAGAACACCAATGGGTCATGCAATATACCTCTGTTCCCTGAAGACTTCCTCACCCCCCACTATCATGACCTTTGTGCCACCTCCCAATCTAGACTTGACGGGAGCATGTGCATAGATATAGACAAGAGATAAAACTCACAACACATGGAACCCAGGAACAGGAATGGGAAAAAATCTTTCCCTAGTGAATGAAGGGGGGAGTGAGGAGCACATTTGTGGGCCACTGTACATCCCCTTACAGAAGGGTTTCGGGGATGAGACAAGTCAATCAGGGTATAATGTATCAATGATGACAAATACAGCTTTCCTCTAGTTCCTAAATGCTTCCCCCCACCCCCCCAACTATCATGATCCCAATTTTACTTTGCAAGTCTGGCTAGACCAGAGGATGTACACTGGTACAAATAGGAACTGGAAACACAGGGAATCCAGCGTGGATGATCCCTTCAGGCCAGTGGTGTGAGTGATGATACTGGGAGGGTAGAGGGAGGGTGTGTTGGAAAGGGGGAACAGATTACAAGGATCTACATGTGACCTCCGCCCTGGGGGACGGACAACCGAAAGGTTGATGAACCTATATTAATTATTTGAAGGTTTAAGAACAAAAACTGAGTTTTCTTTAAGGACAGTTTTGCTTCTAGATTATCATAGACTTCTTCCACAAACTCCTGCATGCTATCATCTGACCTACAGATTCTGGGACACAATGAAGCAAGGATATTTCCTTTGCAGGTACTACAGGGTCTACAGCCTGTTTCCTAACCTACAGATTTGGGATTT